GACCCATATCCTTCTACTGTCCGAAAATTGAGTGAATCTTGATTCGTCTGAGAACAATACAGTCTTCCAAAAGCTTGGTCATCATATCACTTGCCCACTTCTTTCGTCTAACTATGTTTGGCAGGTCTTAACAAGGGCTTCTGTCCATCTGCTCTGCAACAATAACCCAATCTGTGGAGAATCCATTGAACAGATTTTGGGCTCATCCCACAAACTTTGGCCACTTCTGCAGTCGTTAATCTAGGATCCATTTCGATGCTCCTCTTGACAGCCCTCTCTGATGGACCAGGACGATCCGGACGCTGCTCAGTTGTTTCTTTGCCATGTTTCCTGAACTGCACGATGATTCTGTTGACTGTCAAAGGCGGGATTCCCAAATTTTGCGAAATTTGCCGCTGACTTATTCCACCATCTGCTTGACCAACTATCGTTCCTCAAACAGGAAAACCTTGAGCTCTAGGCATGTTGTAGCACAAGATAATTAGTGTGCGGACCATTTTCATTTATATAGTGCTCTGCGAACACAAATTAGTTAGCATAAATCAGTTAAATGACGAAAAATTAGGTGTCTATTTACTTGTGACCACTCAGTGTAGTGTCAGAACAAAGGGTGCATTGATGCAGGTGGAGGAATTAGCAAATTAGATATTACCAAGAGCATTTAAGTATAAAAGACTTGAGCATGCAAGACCAATGCTTAGATAGGCAAAGCCAACGATGAGGAATAGTTAAAGTGTCAGCAAAGGGTAAGTATGTTTTGGAAATTTCAACACTCAATTGTTTTCTCTATATAATCATTCATTTGTGTGTGTATAAATAAATACTTTGAGTGTATGTAGGCATGTTTTTTACTCATTCTAAAAAAAATGAATCTTAAAACTTCCATTTAAATTCATAGACAAAATATTTATATAAAATATTTAAATAATGTTTCAAAAACACAATATAAATATTGAATGAATTCAATAATTCCCTTACACAAAGTAATTTTCCTAAACTATCCTACCTTATCTTTAACAGCCAAGATTTCAGATTCTGAGATGGCCAAAGAGCTTCCTTCCACATTTTCAATATTTTTCCACTTGGATAACATTGCAAAAAATTCTCTATTGCTGCAAATAACCAAATACATAAAATACCATAGAGTTTTAATGACTTATTTTATGGTGATCTTTTGAAAAGTTTAGTAAATCTAATATATATAATTTTTTATACAATTACTTACACAGACTTCAAATATTTTACTTTAAACAACCTGAGCTAATATAAGAGATAATCTATAACAACTGACAGATGTTTAATAATGTAATAACTCTCATTTTAATTAATACATTCTGAAAATTACTCCACAATGAATTTAAAACACTGAAGAATTAGTTAGCATACATTAAGTAAATGATGAAGTAAGAAACATAATACAAACTTAACAGACTGTATAAAAGTAATTTATTTATGACTCATTTTTAAAATAATTGAAACAACTCTTATGAATTAGGTATACTACATTGAAATAAGTGCTGTACACTGAGATAGTTAGTGTGCTGTACACCAAGGTAGCTAATATACCAAAACAGGTTTTATATAATGATACAACTGCTAATACAGACACTGTATAGTAAAACTACATGATGACACAGATACTAATACAGACACTATAGAACAATTGTAATGAAATAGGATCTACATGATGACACAAGTGCTAACATAGACACTGTAGAACTATGGTACTGAGTTAGGATTTACATGATGACATAATTGCTAACACACAGTACAGTGAAACTACTGTACTGAATTAGGACTTATATGACAAAATTACTAACAAAGATACAATGTACAGTAAAACAGCTACAATACTGAATGAGGTTTTATACAGTAAAATATTTATTATAAAAACACTGTTTAGTGGAACTATAACTGTATCAAAGATACAGTCTCTACCTTAAGATATCTTAGTAGCGTATTAAGTTGTGCTTTGTTTATTGGAAAATATTTTTATGAAATGTTTATTTGGTTTAAGTTTTAAAGTATACATAATCTAAAACTATCATTTCTACAGAGAATGTGTGTCAAGAAATAACTATGGTGAAATCAAAGCATACCTAGATTCTTGAGGAGGTTTGACAATATCTGGAATTATGGTCACATCAGAATAATCTATCCTAAATTTGTTGAGAAGAGCAGCCATGCTATGAAAATAAAAATATGCTTGATAAAATATCTGTGAAAGTATTTTTACAGAAGACTATAAACTTATTATTGAAAAATAAATAAATAAATAAATTTGCTATTCACAGAAAAAAAGATTTTCCCAAAGGATAAATTACATGGATTGATGAGTGTCAATGCACTTAACAATAATGTCAACTTTCCCCATAGATCTGACTATACCAGAAGAACTGCTTCATATTTTGGCTAACCAGCCACCTAAGTTTTATAAACTGAGTGTAATCATATAAAACGAAACAATAAGAAATGAGAATCAGAAATGGAAGGCAAATATATATAACTGTAGCAAACCAGTCTCAACCAAAGTTTAGTTACAAAAACATAGCATATGTGGCTTTATATAAATGATTTTCAAGTTTCTATATTTTGGGTATTATAATTATTTGCTCATACATTTTATTTTTAATATATTCTTTTTTTATTATGTAAGAATAATTTGAGTCATTTTGCTAATATTTAAATTCATTATTATCATAATGCCTTTAAAGTATCTTAAGTGGCATTTCCTGGAACTTCTGTAAAGTAACTAGTTAAATTTTATTGTAAATTCAGTATAAATAACCCATCTGCTTGGTACTGTTACATTCTATGAACATATCTTTATTATCATCATCATCATAATCCTTTAGAAAATGATATAAAATGTAGTGGCAAATCCTTTTTGGTATTTAATTGTAACTATTGTGTTTTAAAGTATTGTGAATAAGTATCTTATAATGTTCATACATGATGTTAGAAAAACATGTAGGTTCAAGAAGTATTGACAGAAATGAATAAAAACCCTATAACTTGAGCACTTTCAAAAGGTGGATCTTTCTTCTTCAGGAAAGATCCACCTTTTGAAAGTGCTCAAGTAATAGGGTTTTTATTCATTTTCATAATGTTCATAGATTATCTTATTAGGTCCTTGAAACATCCTTACTTCCAGTACAATGCAACTAAACTGTTTATTTCTATAGTCTGTTTACATTCTCCTACAAAATACCTAGATACCATGACTTTTATATGCAAGTGTGATAAATTCTTTGAATTATTTAAAATGAATATTTTTGAAAATAATTCTAATATATTTAATTTATTAGGTGTATGTAAAACAATTAAAATGTCACGGTTCATTGAAAGTGACATTGCATTTCTAATTCTGTGAAAGATAATGAAACCCATTCATAATTTATCAAAGGCAAAATATGATTTCCAAATGACTTAAAATAAAATAAATGTTCAAACCTTACTTTCTCTGATCTCTATCAAGTTCATCTTTTTTATTTGCTAGAGAGAACACACGCAGCTTGCAATTTCTCCACTGTGATTTATTACTCAATAAGTAAGGGATTAACATTGTTAAGCCTAGAAAAATAAAATGGTAACACTGTTGAAATATATATATTATTTGACCACCAAAATTCACAGGGAAAAATAAATTGTGCATATTATTTTTAAGCAACGGGTTTTAAGAAACTTTGGCACAATAAAGTAGGTTTTAGATCACGATATAAACATTAAATTATCCATTAAAATTACCTTGCATTAGCAGACTAAAAACTAAGTAAAATTTGATTATTATAAATAGAGAAAATTCCTTATTCCCATTATTAGACATACTCACAAAACAGTGGTTGTCTTATTAAACAAGCCATTAAGTTTCAAATGATAAACATTTTGAATCTACGAATATTCTTGTAAGAAAATACTTGTTTTAGTATCTTTTCAGTTGTTAGTGTGTTGAAAATTCAAATATACTGTAAATCTAAATATTAAAAATTATATGTAGAAATGTTATCACTTTATTAAATAAATATATTTTAATGAAATAGACAATTTTGTGAAAAATAAAATTGCAGTAACTTGCATGTCAAAATGTTTAATATGTTAGTAATAACAAGCTTTTTCAAACTTTTCTCTATTCATGATAAAGAATGTAACATTGAATTTAAAAAAAATTAAGTAAGATCAAACAAAAAACGAATAATTCTTGGTTGCTGAACTTTTTAACAGAACAAAAGAAAAATAATTGTCTAGACTAATATACTTTTGAAGTAAAATATAGCAGACAATAAACACAGAAAAAACTTTTTCTGTATTGCTGAAAGTTCAATAACAAAACAAACAGAAAAAAACCTACAGACTAATGTATTGCTAAACTAGAAATATAACAAAAGATCAAAATTAAAAAGGAACTTCTCTCACTAACTTAGAGCTGACAGTATTAAAACTGAATATTAGACATAAGATATAACTAATACCAAATTAATTGTTTCAGGACTGGCACCTGTTTATTTCTTTCCTTCTCACAGTGGAAATTTTAACCAAATGGTTCAAAACTTGTGCAAAAATTTACTAAATAATATTTAGTTTTGCTTTACTATGTTTTTATTCACTTTTTCTATAGACTTTCATATAGTAAAATTCACAAAATCCTGTTGACAAACATTCTTCAAAGAAATATTAAAATGCTTCCTTTTATCCTAGAATCTATTTTACTTTCTTTATCTTTATTACTCATCACAAAGTTTCATTTTTTTTTTTTATTATATAATCATATAATCAAATATAATCAAATTTCCTATATTTGTAAAAGCAGGTATAAAACACGCTTGCATGTCACATATTTTCTTCTTCCTCTGTTTCAGGCTTATCCTCAAGCTGACAATTGCATTTAACTTTCAAACCAATAACATTTTAAACTTCCGACATAAAATAATACACAAAAGAAAATTAAGTTAAAAAATCTCAGAAATAAGTTTTTTTTCAGGTGGTTGTCTTATTACATAGATTTATATTAAAAAAATGTTCAGTATTTTACAATTAATAAAAATAAATCAAAAAAATAACCGAACCTACAAAATACATCTAGTTCCAATATTTTACACAGTTAAATTTTTGATATGCATTTTTTGGCTTTTATAGCTGTCAAATATTTTAAAAATAGAAGAAAAAAAAACTAAGAATATTTGTAGGAATTATGATGGCTAGGCTTATTAAGTCAGAAAACAGCATTTTGAAAATACAATTAAGTAGCCATATTTTACACATTATCTATTAAAAACATTTGTTCAAACATGTTACAACTATTTTTTATGTTTAGAATTATAATAAATAAAAAATGAGATGTACATTTTGTTCACGGCAGAACTTGCACATTCATAAATCATTTCAAAAAGATATTGCAAACTGGCAAAATGAGTAGGAAATATAAGAAACTATGTTATTAAAAGATTTAAGTCCAAAACTATAAATTCTTATACCTACCACCATCATCATATAACCACCATACATCAATAGTACCCTTCTTTTGTTTCCTTTGGAACTGGTTGACATTAGACAAAACATCCTTGGGTATGTCTTTTGAGAGGCCTTTTACCACCTGGTTGCTGTTTAAGTTTGAACTTGAAGCAGCCACTGCTTCACCCTCTGGGTTTGTGGAAACACAGGATTGGAGACCACTTCGAGTACTGGCTGGGGTGTTTGGAGGGGATGAATCTTGAGAAATTCCACCTAATGAAAGACTGTAGTAATTATAATTGAAGAATACAAATATAAGGATTATAGTTTTGTTATTTTCTTCCATTTTCAGTAAAAGTAGTGAGATTATTAACTATGTGCACATTAAGCTTTTACAGCTTACCTGCATTCCAAATATACTATCCATTTTTCAAAGATGAAACATTTTTATAAATCACCTTGAAGGATTCACTTTTGCAGGGAACTATCACTCTTGCTTTTTACCTGTTACACAACTATGATACAGCAAGTTTTTTAATGATATTTGGTGTGTACATAAATGTTATTCATGCAATTTACTGCATTTGTACGTATTCTGCTTTTTTTTTCCCCCCCATCAACAAAGACTGAAAGTAAGCTGTGAATAGTGAAATTACCAAATTTACAATGAAAGTTATATTAAACCAGTAAATGTAATAAAAAATAAGTATGTCTTGGGTTTATGTTTAAGTGCTGACATTTTAAATTAAATATTTTTTATAAAATACAAAATTTATATGACTAGGTGTTGCGCACAAACATGTATTGGAATTCTGTACAAAACGTGTCAGTTCATGTAATATTAATACATAAACATAAACTATAACAGAAGTAGCTAAGCTTCACATTGCTGTTCTGTTTTTCAAAATTTTTTAATCAGTAAAGTTAAGAAATGTTATTGGTATAATACTATTTCATTTATGCATAATTAAATATTTAACTGAAAGAAATCTGTTGGAAGTAAAAATGTAACATTTACAAAGGCTTAAGGATTTTATATGCTAAATATGTTAGCAAAACAAAACCCCGTTTGTTTTTTTTACCTTATTTGATGTCTTGTCACAAAAAGAAGTATTTGCTATAAAGTTATGATAAATACATTCATACAGATTGTTTTTCCTTGCTCTTGTTGTTTTAGTGCAAATCTACACAATGGGCTATCTACATTCTGCCCATCATATCTTAAATGTAGCCTTCTAAGCCTGTTAATTGACCCAGTGGAGGACAAAACAGTGTGATAAAATTATTTGAGTCACTAAGGTATACAGGTATTTCATGATGAAGTTATAGAAATAAAAAAAACTTCTCCCATAATACACATGTGGTACAATAGATGACATCTTTTAGATTTTTTCTAAACAAAAGCCAAAAATTACATTTAGTTTCCTGCACAAAAAATTACAGGAAACTTGTGACAAAATTGACTTCAACATCTAAATATTTCAATGTGAGCACTCCAGTTTGAAGTTAATCAGCAAAATATACACTAGAAATTTCAAAACTTGTTCCAACTACAGTTACATACATGATCATTACAAGAAATATTAAAAACATTTAATCTTAATAGATTAAAAATGTTAAAATATTATACCATTTTATAAACACTGGTAAATGCAGTGACATGTTTGAATTCCACCTAGTCTCAATATTCACAAAAAAAAACAATAATTTTGACATCTTTGTGTATTTTAGTTCTTTTATCATTAACAAAACAAAAAGAAATGGACACATCTTGTTCCTTGGTCTATAAGTTTCAAAAATTAAAAGTATAACTAGACATATACAAATTACTTGAAATTGAAATGACATGTTCATATACAACCTTTTTATAAGACCATAGAAAAGTGTTAATGGTATTTGCAAATGGCACAAATGGGTCTCAATCATAATCGGTAGGACCCTAACGAAACTCGGTAGTAGACTATACCTTAATTTAAGTAATAG